TACTCACCCTGGTAATTTATTTGAATGATTAAATGATTATAGTTAATTGTATGTTCCCTCGTTAAAATAAAAGAATTGAAAATTAAACTCTGAATTAGATAGATAAATCAAAAACGTTAAAACACAAACTCAGAATTAAATCATGATGCTCAGGTACGACCAATCAAAAACGTTAAAACGCACAAACTCAAAATTAAAGATATAGAGAAGATACCTGCTAGTCGAACCCAATTCCCAATACAAAATGCATTTGCATTAAATGTCCACAAAACACAAGGACTTACACTCCCTGATGTATCACTAAACCTAGATGAACAAATATTCGCACCTGGCCAAGCATATGTAGCATTGAGCCGCTGCACTAACTGGAATAATTTAAAAATACAATCACTAGATAACACTGCTTTTATCACAGACCAATCCATGATCAGAGAATATAGACGTTTAGAACTTGAAGCCCTTGAATCACTACCACTAAACAGACCAACATAACAAACTCCACTAACCAAAACAAATAATTTAAAAAAAAATTTTTTTTTTTTTTAAACTAATCCCTTTTATACTCTAAACCTTAATAATCTTACCACGTGTAACCAAACTATTCTAAAATCACATGATTAATGATTAATAAAATTCAAAAATTACGGGCGGCGAAGCCGCCCACATGCACATTCTCTAGTTACTTAATAAATTACTTTGCCCATCCCTAATCACGGGTAAATGCCAATGTCTGAAATTGGGTTGCAGAGTTGCAGGCCGGATTCGCATACGAATTTATTTATAGGTTTATGATTAAATTTTTATATTGAACTAAACGTTTGTAGATTTTTTTTTTAGTTGCGAATCCGCAAACTGATTAAAAATCGAATTTTAGACACTAATTGCAGCAAAACGACATATTCGCAATTAATCCCAACTGGAATTTCGGATTTAAGTCCTATCTACATCTAAACTGTAAAATCTCAAAATTCACTTCATAAATGAAAGAAAAATTCTTGTATCACATAATACTATGCTACATTACTTTCTGAACTATGATTCGTGACTTTGGACTTAATGAATATACTCACCCATTATACTGTATTTACGCGAATAAAACAAACCTGATGAGAATCATTATATGGGGACCCCATAGCAAAAGGGGGCAGTGGGATAAAAATTTTGATTTTGTAATTTTATAAAAATTGTATCTCTATTAGTTTAATTCTTCAAGAAATCAAAATAATAAAAAAAATTTTTTTTGGCCCCTTTTGCCCATATGAAGATAAATGCCACATAGGGATGGCAAATGTTTTAAAACGTGATTTTAGAACTGATGATTGCTTTATTTTTAATTGTTTAAAATGGTTTAAAGTGTTTTTTAATCGATCTAAAGAATATAGCGTTTAATTCCGGACCCGAAATTTACCGGCCAAAATGCAATAATTTTAACTTCAGTTAAATTTTAACATCAGCTTCGAAGTTTTAAAATTTTTCTTAAAACAATTAAAAACATATAAAAAATGGTTAAACCGTTTTTTTACCATCCCTAATGTCACAAGCTGAGTAGCTTATTATGAATGCGTTGATCAATGATTTTTATTATCATCAATCAAAGCGAACGGGATAGAATTAAAGTGTATTTATAGTAGTCAATTTACTGTAATTAGATGATATTTCATCGATTAATAAATGATTTTTCTACTTGCCAAATTTACGCAGATATATGAACTTAAAGTGAGATATATCGTGTAAAATATATACTATAAATTTGAATAATTTGATTTAAATACCTCTCCCTACGGCCGGCCCTTTTTTAAACCCAATTATATATATATATTACATTATTATCAAAATTTTGTAAGTTAGGGAACCATTTTTATTAGTGGTTTACGTTGCAAAAGAAGGAGAGATGAAAGTTTATAATAAAATTTTAAAAAATTTTTTCAAAAAACTTATTTTCGAAACAGTCCATAACAATATATATTTGTCCTAATTTTTTTTTCATTAAGAGGGTGAGGAGAAAATATAGAAGAGGGAGAAATGTAAACCAACGAATCAAATTGGTCTGGCCTAACCTCCCGTACCTCCCGTTTAAGATTAGCAATACTGAATTTAAAAATAAATCTTTTATGGACAAGATTAAAGCATTAAGAAAATAAAACTTTTATTATATATTTGTTAAGCTATCTAAATAGTTTAGTAATTTTACAAGTTTCTTTATATTATTTTCTAATCTTTCTTTATACTGTTCAATATCATATTCTAGTTGTTTAAATCGTTTCTCTTCATCTACCGTATTAAATATATTACCGTTACTTTTTCCAAAATTATCTTTTTCAATTTCAATAATTTGTTCTCTAGCATTTTCCAAACTTCTTAATCCAAATTCTAATCTTTGTAAAATTTCAATACCTTTTTTGATTTCATTCTTATCATAATTTGATTTACAAAAAAATCCCATAGAAGCAAATTTTATAATATAATTAATTTGAATCAATAATTTAGTTATATAAATCCTCAATTTTCTAGCATTTTTAGTATTTGATCCATTATTATATTGTTTAACCAAAACATCCAAATCCATTTGTTCTTTTTTTATTGCTTGTGAATGTACGACTACTCCTTGCTTAAATTTTCTCTGAAATGTTCCGGGTAAGAGTTGAGTATCATCTAGATCAAATAAGCCAAATAATGTTTCAACAACTTCATTAGTTGGTTTTGGTTTATCACACTCGTAAAAACCAGTATGAGTC